AGTTAGGAGGGGTAGAGGTAGACCTAGATTAGATTACTGTTCGCAAATAGTTAAGGATGTGGGCTGTTCTAGTTTTACGGAAATGCGAAGTTTAGGTCAGGATAGGAAAGAGTGGAGGTACGTGTCCAACCAGTCTTAGGACTGATGACCTTATGATAATGATGAATTGTATGATATGTAGTGTTAGGTAATGAAGTAACTATTTAAATTTTTATTACAAAAGACAAAGGACAAGCTTCCCTAAAAGCTGAAGTCCCTGGAGACCAAATACAAATTATTTATCAATGAGAAGGCTTTCAAACTAATCCTCAGATACTTTGATAACAAATTAAGGACACAACAAATCAAAAAATCTTTCTATGACTTCATACATAAAAATTCTTTTGTAAATTGGCATTAAAAACAACTTGCCTAAAACCATGAGACTTTTGTTGATATTGTTGGCTTCTTCCAAGGTTTTACCACCGCTTTGGGTTTTTTTGGTGACTTCGCTCCCAGCTAAATCAACAAAATTCAATTTGCCAGTTCTAGAGATGAAGACACCCCCTTCGGCAGCTATTTCTGATGTTATATTGATCGTTAAAATTGTGTGACTTCGACTAAAACACAGCAGATGTATGTTCTTATCAGTTACAGTATAAAAAACTGATTAAAAGATCCTTTTTGCTTTCTGATAGACACTCACCTGGAATATTCGTTCATGTTGTGTTTTCCAACAGACCTATTTCTCATTCCTTCTTCTAAAACAGCTATAAGATCGTCAAGTTCTTCACACACGACTGTGAACAGGTTTTCGACGAAAAATCCACGGGCTTTTTTGCTCCAGCGAATTGGTAGAGGTTTCCGGGATGATCCAAGATTTAACAAGTCAATAATCTGTATAAAAAATCGGTTGTCTGTAAAGTCAGTTTACTGACGATTGTTGAACGTGACAACGTCATAAGAAAATACTGATGGAATGGTTTTATTTTTCAAAAGAAAATTTTAATTTTATTTGTTTGATAGATATTTTGTGTGGATATAGAGAAGGAGGTAAATGGAAATGTATTATTGTATAGCAGCTGTCCACGCGGACGCATTGCTCACTCAAGTAGGAGAGAGACAGATGTCGAACGCTGCCTAACGCGGAGGCCGATTGTGCCTCTTTGTCGCTCGTTCCGCGCTCTCGCTTGCACTTCAAGCCTTAAATGGAACGCCTCAGAGCGAGGTAACGCCGCATGAGTCATGTTTTTTCGTGCGTGCAGCCGGCTCCATCGAATTATAAGACGTTGTCACGTCAAAAATATGTTACAGATATTATAGAACAGTTTTAATTCCTGTTAAACTCACTTTTTCGTTATATATTTCCAAAAAGCTCGCTCTCAATGTGTAATGTATTTCTGAGCTTTTGTCCAACAGTTGAAACAGATAAACAAAAGACCGCAGTATTAAACCATGGTCTTTATGGTAAGCAGTGGGTCTTTGCAAAAACTGTAATACATACGAAATTTATATTTATCATCTAAAGTAGTAGAAGTATAATTTTTTACGAGTCCAGGAGGTCCTGTTAACGTATGGGTCTTCCCGCTTCCTGTCTGTCCGTAGCAAAAAGCTGTGCAACGAAAACCTTCGACAGCCATTTCGATCAATTCTTTGATTCCACAAAATTCGAAAACGTCTTCTTGACTAGAGGCTGGCTCAAAAACGGCGTCGTAGGAAAACGTTTTTTCTTTTTGGTTGCTGTTCCCGTTTGGCATGCCATGAACCTCAAAAAAAAAAGTAGTCCTGTATCCTTTTCTATGCGTTTACTTTTTTATTTAATAACTCAATGCTATAATGTTACACTTATTGATGTTAATTAGAAATTTCTTTTTTTATTTTATTGATTGAGGCTTTTGGGTGGTTTTACGATGACTAATGAATTTCGTATTTGCTATAAACTTTGAGTATTTCTTCTACAATAACTGCTGCAGTATTATAAAGGAATTTAGGCGAATTCTTCGTTAAATGGTACCATTCAATATTATTTGCGTAAATCATAATATAGCAGTTACCGTTTTCTAGAAATGTCGATTATTATCAAAAGCTATTGATCGAAGAATCAATAATCATTTATTTGTTATATCATTTAATCTACAATGAAATCTATTCAAATCTCACTACAAAGCAGAACATAACGTAATTAGAACGTAAATTAAAAGTAGGTACTTTATACATTAATTAATAAGTTTTCAATCGCTTTAATGGGGTCTATAAATTTTAAATTGTGCACATAGTAGTTACGTTACTGTTACACATAAATATAAAAAAATGGTTTGTTGTTTTTGTGTACTTTGTGTAAGTTTGTTTATTCAGTTTTGTAAATTACTACTTCCAGACGTTTATTGTTACAATGACGAATTTACGAATTACGTTGTCAAAGTGAAATACATCAAAATTTTCCAACAAATGAATTTATTAGTGAGGTAAAACGCAAAGGGAATGACCAAAAGTTGACATTTAAACACGTCTAAGAAGCCAAAAGATTGGTGGTACTTTTAAATAAAAGTTTCGATTAAACTTCCTTTAAGATATTCTTTAATTAGATGTTTTATTAGCTAGATAATTCCAAAAAGTCGATTTTTAATAGGACAANCCAAAAGATTGGTGGTACTTTTAAATAAAAGTTTCGATTAAACTTCCTTTAAGATATTCTTTAATTAGATGTTTTATTAGCTAGATAATTCCAAAAAGTCGATTTTTAATAGGACAATTACCAATACAAATTCTGTTATAGACTGAAAAGTTTATTTTAATATTAAAAACTAAAGCATTTCTTAAATTTTTGGTAGGTTTTAAATTTACGAATCCTATTGTCTAAAAAATAGGATTAATGTTTTTTAATAAGGAAGTAAATTACAATTTACGTGCAATAGGGGTTTCAGTGTATGTAAATCAATTAATTTTGAAGGTGCTGTAGAAAGAAATGTTACATAGATGCTATAGTTGGTACGATCCAAATTGGCAAAGTCCACAATAAATTATTGATGAGAATGGACTTATCTTCTTTCTTGTTTTCACTTGGGACTGTAGTCATTTGCTGCGTTTTGAACACGTCCTTGTTAAGTTAGGAAATGCTTCATGTGTAGTACAAACAAAGTAAAAAGAGATAACCGAATAATAGTAAGCGGTACAGCAATTAGAGGTTGCTTAGGTATGCAAAAGATCAGGGTCGGCTTTATAACTGTCTGGTTGGAATTATATCTTTAAACAAACGTCTTTGCTTTCTTTAATTCCTGAGAAAGTTGAACTGTCTTTGATGTTTGATGCTGACAACATGCTCAAACTCTGTTTGCCGGCATCTCTTTCTATTACACATCAATCGGTACAATGTTATTCCTTTTTCTTTATTAGTGTCCGCTGCAATTCCTATCTGGCATCTCTTTCCTATGTCGACGATATTCCCTCCCTACAACGTCTGTCGTGAGTAAAAGTAGGCGTTTCGTCAACAACTGTAGTAAGTTGAAAGAATAAAGTAAATGCGATAGTTTTATTGTGGACTATGCCAATTTGGAACGTTCTAACTATATATTCAAATCTTCCTTCAATAAAATTGTTTTGTAGTTTTATAAAAATTGGTGGATGCGCCGGACACTTACCAGAATTTGACCATTTCCGGGAAAATCCACGGTAGATGTGTCTCCACATCGTATTTCCTTGGAATTTAAGGGTCGTACCCTTTAGGATAAAAAGTGTATCGACTAATTTATTTATTTTTATTGCTTTTTTTATCGACTTACATACCTGATAACCACATGTATGTTGTTTTCTACTTGTGGAAAGGAAGTTGCGATCTTCCTGAAGGATATGTTGTTATTTTCATTTATGTTTTCCAAACTTCCGGACCTTTAAACATTATAAGTATAAAAATAATAAATGGTCAGTATCATCATTTTGTTTTTACAATAATTTTTATAGATATACAGTATTGAGTTAATTATTTACTATAGATTTTCCGACTGCTTTGGTTGTGGTTGACCTAGTTAAATAATTTATTTATTTAATAATATCTGTTTTACATATTACATGTACAAATTGTTTCTTGTCTTGACGACGTTATCTGATGTCCTTTTTTTTGGAAATTGTTAAGGATCACAGCTGTTCNTTTACAATCAATTTCTAGAAAAGAAATTTTATACTTAGGGCTACCAATAAGAGTTTGAAGGGAGTTCAAATTTGAACTATATTTAAACAATTTAAAAACCAAACTTGAAAGATACTAGATTGTATTCCCATTATCTTCATTATTTACTATAGATTTTCCGACTGCTTTGGTTGTGGTTGACCTAGTTAAATAATTTATTTATTTAATAATATCTGTTTTACATATTACATGTACAAATTGTTTCTTGTCTTGACGACGTTATCTGATGTCCTTTTTTTTGGAAATTGTTAAGGATCACACCTGTTCTTCATAATTACCCTAAATCAAGGAAAATTACTGACATCAAAGAAAATCACTGGCATCACAGTATCATTGATTGCTTATTTATGATATTTTCCTTCCAAAAGCTTTTTTGTATTTCAATCGATCATTAGGCACTTTTGATAGAAACAAATTAATTACATATCCAACATGTTAGTCCATTGTCCTGAGTCCGATACTCGTTCGTGCTACACACGAAGGTGCTTTTTAATTACAAATTAGAAGCAAATGCCAATTACGAAATAAACAAAGCACTCTATCCATTGAAGGACCTAAAGCGTCCTTTGAAAATGAAAGGAAGAATAGTGAAAGTGGAATTGTTATTGTAACTATCGTTTTTATTTCAATTCCATTTATATATGTATCTATATGTATATCGGGAGCTATACAATATTTGACATTTACATTTAATTGGGGTTTGGGGGCATGCGTTAAAGAGTCGAGTTGAAGTTTAGAATCCTTGACCTCTTATATGTACCTACACTAAAACAGGTTACCAGTCAGGTCAGTTATTATATAGGTTGTGAATAACAATATTAATAAAGAACACTTAACAAAGGTGAAAGGAAGCTATTGTAGATAGTATTGTACGAGGGTGGATTGATAAGTTTCCGGCCTAACCAAGAGATGACGCCACTAGGCCTACCTTGAGGTGACATTCTATAGTACCATCCTTGGATAGCTTGTAGCTATAGTTTCAGCCCGATCTCCTNAATAATACTGTACTGGACGATTAGACAGATCGTCGTCAGTCGTAAGACTGATTGAACAAGCGTGTACACTCTTTCCTATTCTGAGCTAATCTTCGCGTTTCCTTAAAACTAGAACATCCCACATCCGTAACTATTTGCGAACAGTAATCTAATCTGGGTCTACCTCTACACCTATTAACTCCTGTTTCTGCCTTTAATATGCCTCTGACTAAACCTTCATGTCTGAGAAGATGTCCTACCAACCTATTCTTCCTAACATCTCTTCATTTCTAACCTTCTCTATCCACGGTATCCTCATCATTCGCCTGTAACACCACATTTCGAACGCTTCTAACCTTCTCTTTTCCGCCTCGCCCACCATCCATGTTTCGCACCCATACAGGGCCGCGCTCCAAACATCATTCACAGTCCCTCAGTTATTGCCTAGGTGTTTTTATAGATCTCTCACAGTGTCTGTATGGATACGATACTGGATACGAAATGAGGATCTCTCTGTATGAGTGACTCGAATCTCTTGTTCAGAGATGCTAAACAGTTTTTTTGACAGTCTCCCTCAGCGACTCTGAGAGAGTGAACATTTTTATTTCGGGCACCTTTAGCAATCTTTTTCGAATTTCTAAATTAATCATTCGCGAGCATAGAAGTGACTGTATTTTTTCATGTTAGATATGTATAAATATTTTAAAGAATTGAATACAAAAAAGATAAAATGTTAAATTCTATCGTGAATAGTAAATGTATTCAAGGGGGTCAATTTGTGTCAATTGCTCGTTATTGGTAAAAAGTTCGCATGCTATAGTAGAATTCTAAACGAGATTTGGTATCGATTCTGCTGCCCAATGCAGCAAAAAAAGAAGGGCTTTTCTCCATGTGGTTTTTCATTTTATATGTGTGAGGGGTAAAATCAATGTTGCAACAAAGAACGAAAGGTCGAGTCAAGATCAAGATCGAAATTATATTTTCGTTTAAACTGGGAAACGGAAGACAAATTCTGTGTACACAATATGTTGAAATAGATATCGGTACTTATATTAAATTAATAAGGAGTTAGCACGCGAGGTTTGCCATTGAATTTTTTATGGATTTGAATGGAGTATTGTTTGTGATCACAATCAAGTTCAAAGCATTGTTTCTTGAAAGTTTTCGGTTACTTTTAAGGGATTATTCAATGAAATAAAGATTTATTCTAATGAAAGGTACAAGTTTTAAAAAGTTTAACCCTTTAACGCCATATATATAACTATAAAACAAAAAAGTTAAGTAAATGTTTAGTGGTCCGAAAGTCCTTCGTTTTCGAGAGAACCGTATTTGAAAGGCGAGTCCGGTCCTGGTGGGATCACGCAGGGAAATACGACATTGAAACGCCGCATTCATTAGCTGCAGCAGGAGTATTTATTTTGTAATTTGTGTACTTAATACCGTACTGAGGTGTATTTTAAATAATATTACTTTCTGTCAGCGATGAACAAAGTAGTTATTTAATTAATTGTTATCGTAATGAACGTTTAAACATTATTATATGTAGCAGTGTAGTAATAGGTTGCTGATATTTACTTTATTGGTCGTTCTACAACCTTCACTGTTTACATTTTTCATCGATGCATTGATTATTATCGCAATTTCTCTTTATGTTGCCAATTCACGGCCAGGGCCGGCTTCGAATTGCACCTTAACCACACTAAAATGTACGTGCTCCATAAATATTGGAATTTCTTACCCGCTTGCCCTAGATTTCCACGAATTGGTGCTTGTGAATGAGGTTGTTGGAGAGCCTATATGACTTCCTTGACTTTTACTAATAGTTTTTGTTGAGTTTGTGGAAGAGTTTTCTGATGGTGGCTCATTTTGCTTTATCCTTTCGTTGCTCCTGTTTCTATTGGTTCGTGTGGAAACAACTGACGATGGACTATTATTTCGCATTGTAGATGAACAAACTCTGGTTATTTTAGCTGTTACCATAATACAAACGTGTGTAGATTTACAAAGCCAAACAACTTCAATCTTGGCTTCTGTAACAAGAAGTAAAAGACATAGTAGATTTTGAGACGATTTATCTGGCTTCCTAATAGATACTAAAAGTCGACGACTTCTTTCAGTTTATCATTTTCAATTTTTGTATTATTTTATGTTATTATATTGTTTGTGAATCAAACCAAGTGTTTTTCTCTTAATCGTCATTTCTGCTGAAGTAATGACAGTTTGATTATGATTTACCGTTTCCAATGTCAATTACAAAAAATGCTTGTTTCGATTTTTGCTTGTAATTAGGTACTATTTCTGGAATATTGGCTTTTAGGTTTAATCAAAGCTAAGTTCACACACATGTGCGTAAAGATCGTCCTATTCAGAAGCCAAGAAAAGCTAATTGGAGCTAATGTAGGATTCTGATGCGTGAGGTAAATTGGATAGAAACAATGTAGGATAATTAGAAAGTTAAAAATATCGTCTATTTTTTAATTACAAGATAACCAGGAAGAAGTTAACCTAGAAGAAAAGTAATTGCAATGTTCACTGGACTTCATAACATATATTAAAAGACATTTTAAATTAGACTATTGTTATTGTTAAGAGAGTTCGATTGGTATTTATAAATAAACTTATTTAATAACGTAATTATTCCCAATTTCTTTAACTAATTTACGATCGTCAATATTGAGACTACGATTTTCAGTAAGAATGTGATGGGCAACATTGGATTATAAGTTCTTATAAATTTGGCATGAGCTAAATGTTCTTTGAACCTGTCGTGAATTGAGCGGCCGGTTTGTCTAACATATTTCAATCTTTACAATCAATTTCTAGAAAAGAAATTTTATACTTAGGGCTACCAATAAGAGTTTGAAGGGAGTTCAAATTTGAACTATATTTAAACAATTTAAAAACCAAACTTGAAAGATACATGATTATATTCCGATTATTATAGTGTTTGTAAACTTTAAAACAAATTAAAAGTTGTGTTGTAAACGTACAATTCTGAACACTTTCCAGTGCTTAGGTTAAAGTTTGACATTTTTTGACGAAAAAAGATAAAGTTCACGTTGACTTTTAAAAAAAGTTGAACACTGAAGGAGACATTTGTTACCTTTTCTGTTGATGGTACGCCGGTGGCATTATGATGACCTTTGCCTGTGTTTGATACGGCACGTGCCCTTCGTGAACACGTGGACTTTAGCCACTAGAGCGCGACAGAATGGAATATGTACGAATTAAAGTACACCCCTTCAATGTTCAGTCACCAAGGGAAAACTGAATCGGTATTTCCTAAGCTTTTCAACTATGCGTCGACCAGCTTTTCGTTTATCGTCACACAAACGTTGAAAGTTCCCTAGTTACAAACCAAACACGGTAATGCAAACAATAGCAATTGATATTGTTCGTATTTCCTTTTTACAGGGTGAAAAAATAAAATTGTTCAGGGGTTTTTGTATCAAATAATTTGGGATACTGTTTTTGAAAAAAGTTTTGTTCTACTAATCCGCATGGACGTTTCGTCTCATGTATGGGGCTCCCTCAGGGTAGAAAAAGAAACCTACTCTGAGGAAGTCTGAGCTTTCATCTCTTATTATTGGCTTCATTTGTTGTTGGTTAAAATAGACTGATACCTATCATCTATTACCTACATAGAATTACCTCTTATGCAGGGTGAATTTTTCATTAATAAATTATAGTCATACGTGTGGTACCTACTGTATATATTTCTGTTTCGATTTACCTAAGTTATTGCATACTTTTTAGCTAACAATGCCACTTACTATGTAGTTAAAAAAAAACTACCTGCTACCAGTATTCTGATAATGGGTAGCACCCCAGGACCTACTTACATATTACCCTATCGTGTGCCTTATCAGTATTACTATTAAATAAACGAGATGCCAGAAAACAGCCCTACCCTAGTCCAACACAACACACCTTTTAGTTTAATTACTTTTTCATTGATATGCATACTAGATATAAGAATGGCTTTGCTACACAAATACGTTGTATCTTTATTTTCTTATGCGTTCAATTAAACAGTTCACAATTTTTCTTCTATTATTTATGTAGGAAAAAATCACGTGAAAGTTGATTGATGAAAAAACGAAATAGAACCACTCAGTAACGTGTAGCAATAAAAAGAAAAGCTGAATGAAATTGTGATTAATAGTCGTTTTTCTGATAGACGTGCATGATTATTTGATTATGATGTAAGCATCACGAATGTGGAATTCATATAAAATGTTCGATTTTAGTGAGTCATCGTCATCATCATATGGTTTAAGTTACATTGCCGTATGTTTAAGTGTAATTTGTATGCCAATTTGGTTTACAATTTCTTACAATGATCAACAACATTTATTAGCATAAAAAATATTAAAAAATTTATATTTAAATAATTGCTATCCCTTTTTATTGACTATTCGACGGGCCTTTTTGTTGTTCATTCGTCTTACCACAGAGAATTGCATGAACTGTACTTTAATTTATCGTAAATGATGACATCGACCGGAAGATACGTAAAAAAAAAGGAAATAGATGTACGAGGGTGGATTGATAAGTTTCCGGCCTGACCAAGAAAAACAAGGTTTTTAAAAATTTTTTTTTTTTATTTCTCAACATAATCTCCTCCAAGGCTGATACATTTCTCATAGCGGTGTTCCAGTCTATTAATGCCATCTCTATAGACTGATTCGTCAAGCTCCTCAAAATAACCATTTACAGCTTCGATTACTTCTTCATTGTCCGCAAATCTCT